ACTAGGCCTTCTCCCCTATTTCCCTTCACGCTCGATGAGAAGCCAGCGTGGCGGGGCGGCGTTGGCAATCAGAGCACATTAACAAGCCTTAGAGGACATCTGGGCTTTCGTTGGGATACAGAACTGGTGCACTGGCACGACGAAATGTCAAGAGTTCGCTTTGGCCAAAGCGAGAGGGGCGTTCTTCCTGAACGTGAGGGAGAGCGAGAGAGAGAGAGACAGAGATACGGGATGGTAGGGAGAATCGGGATAACGGGATAGAGTGGGAGAGAAGAAGGAGGAGAAAAAGAGAGAGAGAGAGAGAGAGAATCATAGAGAGTAGTAGTAGTAGCACGAGGAAGAGGAGGAGGAGGAGGAGATTTCAGCTGCAACTACTACCTACGGCTCCATAGCTGGGATGCTGGATGAGAGAGAAGTCGGTCGATAGAGCTCCCGGGATCCCTCCGTTCCCTCTTCCCTCTCCGGCGCTTTGTCTCTGTCCCTCTCTCTCTCTCTCTCTCTCTCTCTCTCTCTCTCTCTCTCTCTCTCTCTCTTTCTCTCTCTTTCTCTCTCTCTCTCTCTCCTCCTCCCCAACGATGGAGAAAGCGCGCGCTGTTGCGAGTTGCATCCCGCTCCGGCCCGCCGCCTCCTCGCTTCTACGTTGGCGTAGAACCCACCGACCGACCGACCGACCGACCACCGACGGACAGATGAATGGACGGTCCGACAAATGGTGGCGCGAACCCTCGCTTAACAAAGTGGAAGAACTCGTGCCCGGCTGAAAGAGGCTCCCCCATCACTGACCGCGATAGCGCGACGGGGGGATCCTTGTGCGGGGAAAAGAAGGCCGGGAAGTACGAAAGGAGGACTCTCATAAATCGAGAGCGACACCGAGAATAAAAATAGTCGAGAGTGAAAAAAGAAATACCAAGTCTTTCTTTGATCGGAAAATGTGTATCATAGCGCGACGAAAATGGCGTGGCATGCGAGAAAGAATTGAGTAACTGTTTATGTTTAATTAAGGGACCAAATGGAGTGTTGTTCAAATGAATCGAAATCGTAACGCTTGTGGCGGTAAATTGTATTTGATTAAAAATGTTTACAGACAGAGAGAGAGAGAAAATTAAACGAATAATTGAATTTAAAAAGCTCATTAATGGGAGGTAATTGATTTCATTTACGCTAGTATTTCACGTTTAATTAAAAATCTAAATTTAATTTCCTGCTAAATTAAGTGTCATAACCATTGCGAATCTTTACATGAAATATTGCGATTGTTGCATTATGGCTGCCGGCCACAGTTTCATACCGACAACCCGATTATACGATTCTAATCAAGTGAGACAATTGAAGCGAGGAAGCTTGAGAGATAGCGCGACCGGAACGGGCGCCTTCGTTAAATGCCGCTCGTTAATCACAAAAAGCTGTTCATTGTTCCGGGAAGAGGGTACGAAGCTTAAACCTAACGTGTCTCGATGGACGACGAAATTCGCGCGCATAGTTCGGAATTCGGACTCGGAACAAACTCGATCGAGGTTTCCTGACGATCATCAGTCAACGCGGGCTCACGCACTTGCTATTGTCCTTGCGAAGCGATTGATCGTTTCGTGCGACCCTCAATTAATCAGATCCGGACGGAACAATCTGGAGGGACGGAGCAAGCGGAGATGGAGGGAGAGGTTTATCCTGCCCGCCTTGGAAATCCTACGTATCGTAGCTCTCTCTGGGAAAGAAAGAGAAAAAGAGGAGAGAGAGAGAGAGAGAGAGAGAGAGAGAAGGAGAGAAACATTGATAACTGAACGATCCGTTCGTGGGGAAATTAATTTATCCGGAGCTTCGAGCGTGTCATTTAGGGAAACGTTTCCGCGCGAGCGAGGCTTTAACTTAATGATCGTCATGGGACGCGTTCAAGATATTGGTGTGGCATTAAGTCTTTTCATTACGGTAAAACTGATCAACTTCGACCGCAAACCCCGGTGTGTAACGGTGTGCGCGCGCGTTTACGCGCGGCCCGTTTCCCCCTCGAATTCGGGCTCGCCGGCCTTGTCAAAACCACTGACCTACATCTCGTGCATTCAACAGTAAACTCCCATCCATTTAATAAGATTATGTACCAACTTCGCCTGTGTCACCAGAATATCTCCTTCGTTTATAGCCTTATAAAGCTCTAAGTAAATTCGTGCTTGAACGCTTTAACTCAAAATAGAGACTAAAACTCTACTTGAAACTCTGTGCCAGTACTTTACCACAGATTAAATTAAATGAGACGAAACGTATAAATCGTACAGGTATACAAACTTCATAATAAATTGTTTATAAATAAATATATGTATATTTATATATCGCTTAAATTATATTTCACTCAACTTTGACAAGTTTCATTACTAGGTTGAGAGAAATATGTTATTAATAAGTAAATTTATAAGACGTTTAATTAGAAGCAACTGCTGCCCGACATTTCTTCCCAAGCAATTAATAATTAACTCGCGTCGATTACACACCAGCAACGTTAGTATTTGCGACTGCCCAGCACAATAATTACGTCTGATCTCTTGACTCCATAATGTTTGCAATAATAACATCGCGTACACCGCATATAATTGAACCAGGAATTATCAGTAATTATTTTTTACACATCCAGCATAAAGAGGAATTCTACGATGAGATACAATACCGAGAAGAGAGACGGGTATGATATTAATGCAGCAATTACCGAGATAATACAGCGACAAGGGCAGACATTTTCTACGATTGGATCTAAGGAATTTAATTGCGGGACAGGAGCAGAGAATATTCATCGGCAACAGCGTTGAGTTGTCACCGCAAAGTTAACGATATACCGAAAATTGGATGTTAATTTTAAGTCTGAAACGTGAAAAGGGCACGCGTCTGTAAATAACACCGGGATAATGGCAAAGTGGCAGCGAGGATGGCGACGCAGATTTCTCCGTCTATTAATCTCGTTTGTGATGGAACAACGCCGTCGCGGCGGAAAACTCTGTGTTTTGCGCAAAAATAAATTGCGGTAAACAGCAGTAAATCTCGGTCGCGCGCGCGCGCGCGCTCGCGATTGTCCTCGCGATTGTCCGCGGCGCGGCGGTCCGTTACATTTGCATTTGAAAGCGCGGATCTCGCGATCATATCCGGCCGCCGTATGACGTACGGTGCCGTTTATCTTCGGCGATTCTGCAAGTTCTCCCCCCTCCCCTCCTTTCGGACACCCCGGGAATTATCACGATAACGCTGGGTCTTCTTATCGGAATTTATCCCCGTCGCGGTTGTAACGGTGCGATTCTTTCGACCGGCGGAACGGTAACGCGAGATTCTCGGGCGAGGAAAAATGGTACACGGAAATGGTAATTCTCTCACAAAGGGATGGCGACGCGTCGGCCAATCCGAGAAAACCCATTCGAACGTAAACGTAAAATAAGCAGGTCGAGACTGTTTTCCGTTAATTTTTGCAAACGTCGTGGAAGCGTCGAACGATGAGTTTCCATCGAAATTCCCCGACTTGTATTTCCGATGGGAACAGCTGAGCTCGCTATCTGATTCCCGTATTATCTCGCTGAACTTTCTTTCACGCTGATACTGTGCTAACACTCACTATTAAATTCGTAATGTCAAATTATACTCAATTTCAGTAATTTTTAACCATTCCTATAGGTAACCACTGTGCCTGTTCAATATATCATTAATTTAACTAAAACAATGTCAATTCAACTAAATTGAATGAAGCTAAAATATTACCGTTTTGTGTTAAAATAATCAACACAGTATTTAATTCAAGGTATTGATTTAAATTTTATTGTTTAATATTTAACAGTGTCGTTGGTGGTCCTGAAAACCGCGGCTTCTACGATCTACCGCGCGCGGAAAAAATCGCGACGAGCGTATTCGTTTATATTCGAGTTTCCAACTTATCAGGATAAACGTACGCTCGAAGAATAACCGATAAAATATAACGTTTATAACGAAACGTAACGTAGCGCCTACTTCGAAGTGGGATATTCGAATCCCTTTGAGCGGTGCGCTCCACGTCGCTCGATATCTCGACTTGTTCTCCCTTGATACACGTCACCGTAATAATGCAAAACGAAAGTCCGTCGTAAAGCGCACATATCTCATTTTTATGCGAATATCAAATGTGGCATTTAAAAAGAATTTCGTCACATAAAATATAAACCCTATCCTTTTCATCCTCCACGTATCAGGAACGACGCTTCTCTCGCAGCGTCAAAAAATGTGAATTTAGAATGTAAAAAAGGGAAGGGAAGGAAACTCCCTTCATCTCGCCGCTCGCCGAGAAAAGGCGGGAAATATTAATCTTCACGGAGCGAAGATAATGCGGGTGAAACAGTGCGACAGCATTTAAATATCTCAAATGTTTTCGCGATTACTATTAAATATTAATGGTAACACTGTTAAATTGGTAATGTCAAATTATACTCAATTTGAGACTACCACATTTTTAACCATTTCTGTAGATTGTCACTGCTCCTACTCAATGTTATTAATTTAACTAAACCAATAGAATTAAAATAATACTGTTTTGCGTTAAAATTTCAACACACATAGTAGTTAAAAATAACAAAATGTTACTTAACTCAACTAAGATATTGGTTTAAATTTCATCCTTTAATATTTAACGGTAAAAATTTAAACCAATTTAAGTTAAATAATATTTTGTTATTTTTAACTACCATGTATGTCGAAATTTATTATTTTAACACAAAACAGTATTATTCCAACCCCACTGGTTTAGTTAAATTAACATTATTTTAGTCAAAACGACATATTGAGTAAGAGCAGTGGCGAATTATAGGAATGGCTAAAAATGACTCAATTTGAGTCATTTTTAGCCATTGATATAATTTAACACACACAAAAATTTAACAGTGTATAAAAAGGATCCAGCGGGATATGTGCGACAAGCTGTTACGGGGTTTCGATTATCTCGCCCATCTGTTACATGCGCGGATGAGAAAACGGTGACTCGTGCAAATATCGCAAAGCTCACTCACCGACATCGACTGCATCCTCGTCGCTGTATCCTGGTTAACGCGACGATCGGTCGGCGTTTCGCCCCATGTCGTTCCATGATGTCGACTCCGAGGTCTCCTTCCGAGAGAGCGGAAATCCACGACGGACAGCCGACGTCAGCGTGTTTCCTTAATCCGCGCCACTCGTCCCGGGTCCCGACCCGACCCGCGCTGCATGACCTGAAAAAAGAACAGGGAGGGGGGGGGGGTTAGTCCCTTCTTGTTATCAAGATGGCGGTTTGCTCACGCTCGCAAAAGAGTGCCGTATTAAGGCACGTAATAGGTCTAATTAGCCCGGAAGCTAATTGGGTGAACCGGCGGTACCGCCTTCGGCCCTCTGCCTCTCCCTCTTTCCCCCCTCCCCCCACCCTCGTTCTCCACGTCCCTCTTTCGCAGATAGCTTGATGGCGGGTACAAGTGCGATACACGCGCATTAATTTCTTTGTTAACCGCTTACACCCGGGGCTTAATTTCCTTCTAAAAGCCACTCGTCGACCGTGCCGCTTCTGCTGCCGACGTGCCGACAACGGTTATGTAGCAATAACCGGCGACGCCGCCCGCGCCGTGAGACACGGGAAAGGAGCAGCCTCGGAGCAGCGCGTCGTAAATTAATTACAACGATCGCCGCCTCGTCGGAGGCTCGTGTGAGACCCGAACTTCAACGAGGCGGCGGATTTTTCGCTTTCTCGTCAACGCCTCTTTAACGTCGTTCCCGTCTACGCTAATTAATTTTTCGGATTTCCATTCGATGACCAACCGGCCGTGACGAGAAAAAAAAAGAAAGACAAGAAGCAAATTCCGTTTTCTTACTATTCTTTCTTACCGTTCTTTTCATTCGGTATACGCTGCCGCCATTTCTTCCCGCGCGAAGGCGAGGGCTCGGACCGGCAACCGGTCCACAGCGGGGAGCCCCTCTATGGTAAAGGGAGGTCGCAACAAGGAGCGGGAGCACAGAGGAAACGCGAGCTCGACCGAGCGGAAACGCGGCCGGAATAGATGCGGCGTAATAATGGCGCGGGGCCGTTCATCTTCCGCGTTGACTAGCCGTTGTAAACGCAATGAGACGCGACGCGACGCGAGCGAACAGTACGAGCCGCGATAATGGCCGCCACTAAATTAACGCACGACGTGCATCTGACGAGGCCGTTTCGCGTCCAGCGAGGCGTCTTCAATCTTCAACGTCCCCCCCTCCGGCCGTTACCGGTTACTCGTTGCCTTCCGCGTGACGAACCGACGATCAATTGACCGCGACGATTAATTGATCGAATTAACGACCGATCCCCTCGTCAGGGACGTGTCAGGTACGCGAATACGTTTGCGTCAAGTTCGGAAGTTTGAGAAGGAACTGCCGCGAGCGGAGCGGCGAACGATCTGAAGTTGGCCGACGCTTTAAGAAATGACGCGGCTGTTGGCTCGAGGCGCGCAACAAAATGCTTTAAATCGATCGGAAACTAGACACTTTGAAAGACATACTTCTACTTACAATACAGCCTATGCTTCTTGTCTATCTAATAAATCATAATGATACATTGATGATTTGAAGAGAATAACTGAGAAAGGTATGATAACGAATCAAAGAGGAAATATAGTGAGCCTCTCGGAAATTCATGTGAGCCTCTCTGAAGGCCAAATTCATCGACTTCGTAAAACAAAGGACAGATAAAATTGAAACTTAATTTCAAACTAACCGTGGGCTTCGATCCAAGATATGGAATCGATCGGTTCTGAGAGAGGCGTAGAACGCAAAATTACATATGTATTTACATCGCGCGTTTACCTTTTTAATATTCTTCGGACGCGGCCGAATAGCACAATCCTTTCACCGATGTGAAATTACGCCCGCCTCTTCGTCGCTCCGTAAACGCAGCCGCATCGTTGACGACAGCTGACGCTGACGAGTGACGGCTGACGACGTGACGACGCTCACGGCTGTCAATCTGTTCGGTGGCGTCCTCTGTCGCGCGTTTTCGGAATCAAGTCAAGTTTTACAGATATTACAGATTCTATTTCAGTTAAAATCGAAGTAATTGTCTAACGATTTTATATCACAGATTTCGTAAAATAACATGCATTCTTTAGAAATTATCCAGATACGATAAACGAGTGAGTTTTCAATTGATTAATATTAAATTTATTCTTGGGATGACTCGCCGATCAATCAATTAATCTGTGCTTAGCTTATCAACAGAATTATTAATCTTTCACAGATAATGGGTGCGTTCAGCCGATACTCCGCTAGCCTAGCAATCGTGAGCAGTCGCTCGTTTTCGCTCGTTTCCTCTCCTTTTAATCCATTGGGTCAAAGTGAATACGACCGTGCTACGAGTATACGTATTCACGACCGTGTCTACGGCCCGTATTCATAGTGGGATCTTATTTCAAGACTGTCTTAAGTAATGTCTTAAGATGCTAATACGGTTCTGTGATTGGTTCATAACATCTTAAGATCATACTTAAGACAGTCTTAAATATAAGATCCGACTATGAATACCGGCCTACGAGTGGCCGTCATTCGGTGGTTGCTCGGTGGTTTCACCCACAAGCTCCCAGCCAGCGACCTCTACAGTAATGAAACTTACG